GCCCGGCCCGCCAGCGCGATCTTACCCGGGCTGGTCCCACGCGGGGCCTCCTAGAGCTGGGCGGCGAGCAGGCTGCCCGCCTCGCTGTGGGAAGAGGACCTTCTCCTCCAGTCATAAATCAAACACAGCCGTCCTCGGGCCTCCTCCCTCATTAGAGATGTTTATTGGAGATTGTGTTTATTCGGCTGTCACTGCGAGAGAACGCGGTGACATAATTACCTCTGACCGGAGTCCTAGCGGCGCCCAGGGCGAGCAGGGGACCTCCGCGGTGGCCTCGTCGCTGCCCTCTCCGTCGCACGGCGGGTGTGGCTGACTTTTTTCTCTTTTCCCTGCAATTCTCATATAATTTGGATTATTGGAGAAAGAGCTATTCAAATGACCCCAGAACGGGGCGCTTATTTATTTTAGGATTTGAAAGGCACCCGCGATGGGACCCAGCCTCCTTGAGGGTAGAGGAGGGCGCAGGTAAACTTCCCAATAGTCCAGCAGTGATGCAGGGCTGGCCAAGGTCCGAAGCCCACATTGGCGGTGTGGTTCCTGGCTCCCTTTGCACCCGCTCTGGGCTGCGTCCCCCATTTGATTCTCCCCTGCCCAAGGGTTGGAAGTCAGTCTCTGGGACTTGCTTAGGAGATGATGAAAAGCTCCAAATTGTTCTCTAATTGAAAATACAATTTTTTGAGGGCTTGTGATGACAAAGTATCTGGGATCCTGGCTTTTGAGCCCTAGCTACTACCTCCGTTCTCCGGTTGCTAATAACATTCGCCTTGAGCCCCTCAGTGCTTTGATTAACAGGCAGATTAACTCACGGGGCTGGGAACAGCTTGTCCCAATCAGGGTCCTCTTAAAAGCCGATCAGGACGTGCCCAGCTCTGGCCGCCATGGAGAGCCAGCCCTGCGGTTCGCTCTCCTCCTCCAGGCCCTGAAGCCGCCTCCTACTTCCCTGGCTCCAGGACTGAACAGACTGGTGCCAGGTCCTGGGCCCTTGGGACAGCAGCTGTGGAGGCAGGAGGTACCTCGCTCTGGCTTGCTGCTCCTAGGAAGCCCAGCTCTAGCCTCTGGGGGGCAGAGGTAAGAGCAGCAGAGGTGGGGTCTGTCCTGGGCTGACAGTCAAATGAAGTCTCCCAGAAATCCTGTTCAAGCTTTAACCCAGGGGCCTGCAGGGACATGGAGCCAGTTTTGGAGTTGGGCCCATGGCTGCTCTGGGGAGACCCAATAGAAAATACAGTTTTTAAATGGGGGAGGGGAGGGGGGACAGAAGCAGAAGGACACTGGCCATCAAGGGTCAGTGGGAGGGAAGCCACCCAGAGCTCGGCCAGCACACTGACACCTTGGCAGGAGGAGAGGAGGGGCCAGGCACCTTGGCTTCGACAGACAGGTTTGGCCACAGCTTGGAGGCTTCTGGAAGGGTTCTGGGTCTGGCCAAGGGATCAGGAGCTGAGCAGGGTGATGGCAAAGGAAGAGTGTGAAGGGCTTAGGCAGGGGAGGCCTTCCCTCCGGTGCTCCAGATCTGTGTGTGGCACCTTTGCTTCCCTGGGCTTTGTAAAGGGATGCAGGTGTCTGTCCAGACTTTCCTCCAACACAGAAATGGCCTCTTCCCACTCCCCTGCAGTGGGCACAGAGCCTCCGCTGGCCACGGAGACCACAGAAGTTCGGGGATTCGGAACACCAACGGACAGCCCTGAGTTCACATCCCGAGGAGCTGAGCGCTTGTTGGCCTCACCCCAGGCCACCCTGGGACAGGGAGTCTGGAGCTGCCCGGGGATGGCGGAGAGGCAGCAGGTGGCTCCGGGGCGCGCTCTTGCGCGGTATGGGCTCCAGGGTGATGGGTCCTGTTCTCAAGGGGGACAACCGGGCAGGCATCCCAAGGAGAGCCAGACCTTGGAGGGCAGCGCTGACCTCCGCCCGATGCAAATGAGTAGCCACGAGGAACATGGCGACCTGCGCATGGCCTCGGCCCTACGACGCCTGCCTGCGCCCCCCCTGGCCACTTCGCCCCAAAGGTGGGCACCGGGCAGGGGGAGGAAGGGTGCCCAGAAAGCCAGCCAGCACCCCGTATCCCAGGGAGTAACCAGGCCCAGGACACCTTGCCTCCACCCTTTTCTCCTTAAACTTTGCAAACTCTGCCTCCTTCCAGGGCTAAGCCCCTCCCCCGCCCCCAAATAGTGACACCTTGGAAGCAGCCACGGCCTCTGTCCCCATCAGAGTTTCCAGGCGCCCTCCAAGCTCCCCAGGCCCCTAGTGACTCCTAGTCAGTGGCTCCGAATCCCGGCTGCGTCGGCCTCGGGTTTTTGGCGAAAACTTTTCTGGGACTGGTGGGGGTGGGGCGCGTGGGGGAGGGGAGGACCCGACTCCAAGTCCGATGCGGGGATGGGGGAGTGGAGAGCGACAAGATTAAGGCTGTTTCCAGGCAGAGATTAAGAAGGCGCTAATCCACGGGGCGCTAATTGCGAGTTGCAGAAGCGGTATTCGCCTTCAGCTCGGACAGAGCCGAGCCCTGTGCCTGGCCCCGGCTCACTTCTGCGCGGTGGGGTTCAGACGTCTTTCTTGCTCGCTTGAGAAGCCCGAAGTGTGAGAAGGGGAGCACTGGCCGCGCGGGCCCCGAGCCGCCATCCCACTTCCGGGGGTCCCCGAAAGTCGCGGTCCTGCGAAATCCGGC